GAACCCAATGTGGTCAGGGCACAACCTCCCCTTGCGCCTTCTACCCCACCTGCCTTCCTTCCAGGCTGCAGGGAATGGGCCTGTCCCTCATACCAGCTACTGTTGATGCTCACAGGCTGTGCTTCTCAATTGGATACTCTGACTTTCCCCTCGGCATACTCATTAATCCTAGGGTCACATGACATTGTTGAAAGAACTCAGCCCGCAAGTCTGGAAGCCTGAGTTCTAGTTCCAGCTTCACTATGACTTTGCTGTGTTTCTTTTCTTCTTTGGGTCTCAGTTTCCCACATATAGACGAGAGTTGAAGGAAGACAACAGGTCAAGAGCTTGGTCTTTGGAGTAAGACAGACCAGAATGCAAACCCCAGCTCTGTCACTTACAGCTAGCTGTGTGACCTGGGACAAGGTACTTATCTTCTCATTCTATAAATGGGGCTAGATACCTGCCTTGTCCATTGTGGTGAGAATTACATGAATTCATGCATGCAAAATACCTACCTGGCTCATGGTAAGTGCTCAATACACAATAGCTATTTCTCTTAAAAGTCCTAATATTTTAAGATGTTATAACTGCATAGAATCCAGAATATTATTTGATTCTATGTAGATATGTCTGAGAGCCTCTGGATCCATCTCTGTAACATAGATGGTTCCATCAGTTATCAATTACAAGTCTGGCATTTTCCACTGCTGTGCTTCTAACATTCTGTGTATCTAAAAACCCTGTGTCCTGTAGCTCTGAGCCCCTGCCCCATCCATGTTGGAGAAGCTCCAAGTGTCTGTGCCCTGGGGAGAGAGACCCAGGGCTCTCTGGCTAGCATCCTCCCTGTCCCCAGCTTCTCTTTGTACCTGGGCAAATCTTGCAGCACTTCCCGGCCACCTTCTCCGGGCGATGGCAGGGGTACTCAGTGGGGCAGGTCACCCGTTGGCAGTCCTGGTGGCCATCCTGACAGGTGCACAGGATGCAGGGCAGGGGTCCGAAGGAGCGGAAGGCTGGGTGCCACACTTCCCCATGGGAGTACGTCTTTCCGCCATGCACGCAGGCTGGGCCAAGGAGGGCAAGAAAGGAGGAGGGTCAGTGCCTCGGACCCCTGCCAGAGTCCAGGGGCCTTGGGGAGTCCCTGCTGCACCAGTCTGGCTCAGCCACACTGCCTGCAAATTGGAGGCCAGGGTATAAAACTGGCCCCATGGCCCTGACATCCCCATCTCAGCACTCAGGATGGAGATGTGCCCAGTAAGGACTTGCTGAAGATGGAGAATCCTTCTCCTGCCCTCACGGCCCCTCTGGTGGAGCAAGGAGGGGGATGGTCTGACAGCAGGAGAACTGACATCAAGTTCGATCGCTACCTGGCTGTGTGAGCTCTGTCTGGCGGGTCCCTTCCCCTTTCTCAGCCTCGGTGTCCCATCTGTACAAAGAGGGTCTGGGACAGATGCCTCTGTAGCCACCTCCACTGTACCAGTCAGGGTGCCCTGCAGCAAGGCCACTTGCATCGCACTCTGCTGCCATGGCTGCCCGTGTGACCTCCTTCCCACTCCATCCCGACTGTCCTGCAGCGCAGCTCTGCTCCGTCCTTCCTTTGTCAAAAACTTGCTCTCAGCACTTGCTTGTATTATAGTAATTTCTTTACATGTCTGGAGCCCCTCAAGGACAGGGACCATTTTTCATCTCTCTGTTCTGTACCCCTCGATTCCCAGCAATGACATGGCAGATGCTTCAAAAAATATTATACTGACCCACAGTCCTGGTTCCAGGATTGGTTCTGTCTCTGACTCAATATTCTGAACCTCAGTGTCCTGTCAAATGGAGGTCTAGGCCTGATGCCCTTTCAGGGCACCTTCAGTTTTGATGTTCTATGAGTCTACAAGACCATGGCCAAGTGGAGATTGGAGAATCACTGAGTTGGGGGTACAGGGATGAGAGGTGGGAGCAGGTGGAGCCCTCCTTTCCTACCTCAGGGGTTGGAGGAGGTCCCAGTCCCCACCTTTCTTATGTTTCTCCTTCAGGACAATTTTGACTGTCGTGCTGCCTGCTCCCTTTGGTCGGAAGTGGCGAGGGATGAAGCCCAGAGGGGAGCTGAGCCCACTGGGGGCCGGGGTGCTCAGGCTTCTCTTTCTCCCGTCGTTCCCTGAACACGGATCATGGGAATGTCTCTGCAAATGGCAGGAAGGATGAAGATCACTGATAGGTTACTGCCCGTGGAGGAACAGAAAGATAGAGGCTGCAGTGAGCAGCCTGAGGGTGGACACTAGCATGACTTCCCAATGAAGACAGGGCACAGACTAGGGACAGAAAGATAATCTGGATGGGGTCTAAGACATTCTCAGACAAGGGATCTTTGAAAACTCTTTGAGGATGATGGTTTGGAGAGCCAGCGTCCACTAAGCCCCTCTCAGAGTCAGGACCTTGGGGCTGGAGTGGGTAGAGGGTGCTGAGGTCTTGATTTGGGAGACATAAGTGATCAGGGACCTGGAGAACTTAATATTTAAGTAACAGAAGGTGAGAGTGTAGTCAGGATAAGAGGAAATTCTTTGTCTGAGAAGATTTAGGTGATGGAACAAGATGGTGGGCCTTTAGGATCCTACCAGGCCCCAGAATCCCACAGAGCAGGAGGAGGAGGGGCAGGCCCCATCCAGAGACAGAGGGTCTTCAGAGCTCAGGCCCTCTTTCCTGAGCCCCTGGAATCCAAGATCCCAAAACCAGGTCTTGGGAGGGCTGGCAGTGATACCAAAGGGTGTGCGGTGAGGGCAGTGTAATGTCGCAGAGCACTGCAGCTCATACTTTGGGGATTGGCACTCCAGGTTGTAGGAAAGGAGCCAGTGGGCTGGGGGCAAGGGGCAGAGCTTTNAGAGGCTGAATGAGACTAGCCTCAGGCCCCTCTGCTCTGAGGATGCTGTGAGGAGGGCCCTCCTGCCTGAAAAGGTCTCTCCTCACAGAATGCTGAAAGTCCATCAACAGACATCTCTTTATTTCATCAGGATAGGCATTAATTACCCTGTCCTGGCTCTTTGCAAGGTGCAACAACCCCTTCCCTCCAGGAGAGGGAGCACTTCGAGGCCTGGCATCTTAGAGTAGGTGAGCTTATCAGAACTGTCAGGGAATCAGACAGAAACACTGTCTCTCTCTATCTTGGAATTGGAGACTCTTAAACCTGGAAGGGTGGCCAGAGGCAGGTCTTCCTGGGCTAGAGGCACTTGATCAACAAAACTCCCCTAAGGCCCCTGGGGGGCCAGCAGCACAAGAAGGGAGACAGGTAACGAGATATGCCCAGCTGGGAATGGGCCAATGCTCACCTTTTACCAGCTTCCAGAGGTAGATGTCCACCTGCTCAGAGGCCTCACGCTCAAGGGCAAAGCGATGCAGGTTGTCTGGGTTTGGAGATACAGATGTGTGGACGAGGACCCGGCCTGGCGCCTTCGGACACCTGGTGGCACTGATCTCACTGTGGCCAGGGTCTGCCTTGTCATCTGGGGGAGACAAGGAACTTGTGAATGCTCTGTTTCAGCACCCCTGGTAGGCTCAAAAAGAGGGGCCACTGGTCTGACAGCCCCCTCAGGGTCTATACAGTCCTTGGGAAACTTCTGGTGCCCTTGGGAAGAGAAGGCAGTCTCTAGGGAAGAGGAGAGGGGCATCTCCCCCTTCACCTCCCATTGATTAGCGTATCGGAAAAACTTCTCACCCTTCCACCTCCTCCAGGCAGCCCACTTGGAACAGCTTAGCCCACCTTGTTTCCTCACGCTCACAGCTTTTAAAACCCTACTTGCTTATGACTCCCACTCATGCCCTTAATCCCACACTGCCTTGCATTGCCTTGTAAATGTTTCACCTGAGTGTTTTCTCTTTAAAAGAGACACACAAGGTGAAGGGCAGGAGCCATGTCCACCAAGTCTTTTGAGTCCCTCATACCAAGCTCTTAATGAACATACACAGAAGGAAAGGTTTGAGAGGGGTTGAGGTGATAATGACAGTAATGTTAATGATGGTTGTGATGGTGCAAAAGGTGGTAGCAGTGATCACAGTGATGGCCACGGTAGTGGCGGTGGTGGGGATGGTGGGGGTGATGGTGGAGATGGAGGGGATGATGGGAGTGATAGTGGAGATGGTTGGGATGGTGGTAATGTTTTTTTGGTGCCAAATTACATCCAGTCCTAAAGCCTTGACATGCTGGAATTCCATGGACATTTCCAGAACTTTCGATGTATCATCAACATTCCCTGACTATTTTTCAAGGACTGAAGGACCAAGTCCCTACACATACTCCCCCTTCTAGATTCTTACTAGTTATGAAGCCCTTAAGAGCTGTTACAGTCTTAATATTGGGTTGTCGGAAAAGCCATGACGCATTTTTGCAATGAAAAACACAGAAAAAATACCTCATGACTTTTCCGACAACCCAATATTTTTAAGGGAAAACGGACTGGGGTCTGGTGGCAGANTGCCAAAGACCAGGTAGTAGGAGAGACTCCCTCCATAGGCTCAGGCTAAGCCACAAGCAGGAGATGGGGATGCGTCCTTCCGCCCCAGGCCTGCCACAGCACACACCCCAGAACACAAATTGGACAGGAAGTGACAGGGAAGTGGGCAGGTCCCCACACTGCAACCCGTAAAACATGATTGAAAGGACTGGCTCTTGGGCCTGGAATCAAGAGCCAGAGGGTCATGGTTGTGCCTCTTGCCCTTTGAAGGGCTTACCAGGTCTGAGGGCAGCTGGATTTTGTGGACCTGCAGGGCAAAGGTGGCGCTGGTGGATGAGTTCCAGGAGATAGGACAGGCTCAGCTCAATGTGAAGATGAACCCTTTCTGGGCAGAGCCATCCAGTGTTGGAAGTCAATCACCTGTCTGGCGGTGGGTTGGGAGTATGGGCACTCAGGGGCTAGAGACCCTCAGGGAGGCCACAGGCGTACTTCCTTCCTAAGTTGGGATAGGAATTGAGACTCCCTAAGGCCCTTTCTACTCTGAAACGCCAGAATCTAAAAGGCTCCTAACCTTAAGCCAACTCTCTGCTCAGCTTCTGGGCCCCGGGGCCACTCCCTGTGGTGTGGCCTCACTTAGCCCAGGTTTCAATGTCCAGCTACTTGCGTTGTCTCTAGGCCAATTCTCCCCTTCCTCTCTCAGCCCTCAGGCCTGCTGTTTCCACTCCTCTGCGTGAGGAAACAGTGCAGGTTTCCCACTGACAATCAGCCTGCGGGAACGTGTTTGACTCCCACGATCAAGAACAGAGAGGTAACAGGAGGTGGATAGGGCATTTAGACCACCCCGGGGTTCAGGAGATAGGGAGGGGGAGGTTTGCTAGTGACAGGATAGTAGGGCCTGGCACTGTGAAGTTGAAAAGTCCCCCCCACACACACACACCTTATTTCCTTTCTGCTGGGCCTGGTGGTAATGAGATTGGCCTTGAGCTATGATGCTCCCCTGTGCACCATCCTGGGCACACTTTGGACTTCCTCAAGCACCTCCCTAAAAGCATAAGGTCACCTCTGTGAAGGCAGCACTGGGGACAGTGAGAACTGGGTTTGAATCTTTGCTTTACTTCTTAAACTGTGTGACTTTGAGTGAGTCATTTTACCTCTCATAATCAGTTTTCCTATTTGAAAAATGGGGCGTTAATACATACCCCTCAGTTTTCTTATTTGGAGTAAATGAAGCACATTACACGTAGTGCCTGCAGCGCACCAATCACAGAGCACAGAACATGTAAGTGTGGGCTCTGGAGCCAGAGTTTGAGGCTGTCTCTGCCAGCCTGCCTACCGCGTGCCCATCTTGCCTTACTAGCCCCAGGCCCATTTTCCACGAAGCCGTCCCTGACCAGTTCAGCTCCCAGTGAGCGCCTGCTGCACCCAGGCCACCTAGGGATAGAGGCTGGAGTCTATTACGCTCTGTGGTCCTAGCACCTGGTGGGGGTGGGGGAGGCCCAGAATAAGCATGTAGCCAGCACCTGTCCAGGGACTGATGGACTCCCAAGGTGCAAGAGAATGATAAACGTTACTGAGTCTAACTCCCCAGCTGCTGGCAGAATCCCCACCCAGCCCTTGCTGACACACTCCCGTGAATGCAGCTTGCGCCCTCCCTTCATTACAGGAAGGCTCTAAGTAGGAGACAGTGTTTTTCTCTCCTTAGCTGAAACCAGTTTCTCTGCAATTCTAACAGATTGATGAAGTGGGATGAGGACAGCGACATAGCACCTACTATAGGTCAGGGGCTCTACCTACGTTATTTCATTTAATCCTCCAAACATTCTCCTCCCCAATGAGCGGAAGAGAAAACTGAGGCCCACAGAAGTCAAGTGATTACCCAAGGCCACACAGCTAAGAAATGGCAGAGTCGGGATTCCAACCCAGGTCTGATTCCAAAGCCCCTGCTTGTTGTTCTGACCCCTGAGGTCAGTCAGAACACAACTGCTCCCTTTGCCTGGGGCAGTCCTTCAGAGCCATGAAGCCAGCGGTCCTGTCCCCCTGAGTCTTCTCTTCTCCAGGCTGAACAGCTCCACTTTCTTCGTCCATTCCTCCTACGACAGGAGTAGAGCAGGGGAAGACCGCGATTGACGTCACAAGACATGGGCTCTAGCTCCTCCACTTACTGGCTGTGTGGCCTTGAGCCAGGGACTTCACCTCTCTGAGCCTCAGTTTCCTCATCTGTAAAATGGGGATAATAATGCCTAACTCTCAGGATCGTTGAGGATCAAATGAGATAATGAACGTGAAAGCACTTTGTAAACTCTAAAGTGCTTTACACATTGGTTGTTATTATCATTGTCATCATTTTTATTATCCCCTTACTGTCCCCTTCTTATTGTCCCCTCTTTCCCCTACCCCCTCC